TCCAGACATGAATGCAGAGGATCATGTAACCTTGGGCCACACTGGAAAATTAACTTGGTCACCCAATCTGGAGTGATCATCCAGCAAATACTTGAACATTACGATTGTGATGTGATGGATAAATTACCCATGATCCATCATGGGCAGAAAGTTCTGTGATGCTCTGCAGGAAAGAAGCAATGATATCTTAGAACGGTATTTTTTGGCATTATAAGAAAACCATGCCATGGAACTTTGATTTTCTTTCTGGCTTGTAAAACACCATTCAAAATAATGCAGCCCTGATGAACATATTCTTCAGACAATTTTTGCAAGAATCATCCTGGCAGCTTTCTGCTCCACACTCAGTATAGATAAGGCAACCAGCTCTTAAATTTATTGGTGTACCCCAGATTTCCCTTCAGAATTCTTACAATTGTAGTGCCAATAATTCTCAGGGTTGCTGTCACTAATTTATTATTAATTCTGTCATTTTCATCAACAGCCAACTTCAAAGGCAACTCTCAGAATGGGAAAGTGGTGTGCTGACTGTTGATCAAGAGAAACAAAATTATCTTGGAAGACCTGCGGCCAAGTTTAAGTACAGGAATTCCATGTTGATTTCATAAATTTCGAAGAAGAAGCTGGGCTAAACCGAACAAGTTGCAAGAATATTGCCTCAACTTTTCAGTGAAGAGCAGAAAGCTGCCAAGGCGACTTTCAAAAGCAAAAAATATTAAGGTGGCCTGAATTTTTTCTTGTGCCAAAGAATTTTGCCTCAACAACAGTTCAAGTGTGTTTCCATTAAAACAAATTCTGTTGACATCTGTTCAAAAGTTCTCATTCAAAAAATAAAAGCCAACTACAAAAGCACACCCTCCTTTTCTGCTCTTGATTTTCTTTCTTTTTTAATGTGCATGTGATACTTGAGTAAACACAAGTACTTAGTTATCATTTTTACTCAAGTACCACACACCCTTGAGTAACACATGCATATCAGTATTTTGTCCTGAAATTTGCCTAAAAATTCCGACTTTTCAATTGATGGAACTCATTTGTGCTGAAAAAGTAGAAGAATAAGAGAAATCCCTCACAGCCGCACTAACTTTCTGAACTCATAAATTATGATCCAAAACTTTAGCACACAAGAGAGATCTAAAATAAGTTCTTCGGATAGAAATTGAAATGGCATTCGACTGAGCTAGCTGAGCAATTTTTTTCACCATTAACCATGATGGTTACAGAGATTTTTACTCATGGAAAACTGAAAAATTATTTGCTGGGCATTGGCTTAGACAATTGTTTTAGTCTTATTCGATCCTCATAACAAACATTAAAACAAAGATTCCCAGGAATTTGTTCACCACACATGATTTCAGAAATTCACCACCATAGTGCGCCTGATAAGTTAGGAAGGCGCACCGACTCAGCACCCGCTCTCTTGCAGCGACGCAGCGAGGCTAGCAAGTCTCACTGGTAAGCATGTGAGAGATACCCTCTGGTTACTGCTGTCCGGGTCCATACCGAATCCGCGGAGTGAAATTCCGCGGTTAGATTTTCCACAGAGGCTTTTCCGCGGTGAACATTTGGGCGGTCCTTCCATCCGCGGAACTAAACTAATGCAGCTAATTCTGTGGCGATTCTGCTATACGCTTCAGAGAAGGCTCGTGTGACAATGAATTTTTTCGGACTTTAAGATACTTTTCAGCGGAATTCATTTCCGCCTTAAAAAATCACCTCGCGATTCACTTTCCGCCGTGCATGTGTTCACCGCCGAAAAGCCTCCGATGGAAAAGCACACCACGGAACTCCACTCCGTGGATGTGGACCGCTCCCCATGAGCAAATCCCTGCAGGAGACTTTAGAAACTCAGCGGCCAGAGGGAGCCGCAGATGTTCTTTGTGTAGAACATGGCGGCTCCCGTAAATCCTGCCGGTGTACACGGGACGGCATACTCCCCCCTTAAATCTACTCCAGTATGCATTGCCTATAGGCAGGATGCACTTGAGAAGTGGGATTTGTCTGGGCAGGGTGTTCTCCAGTGTGTTATGTCGTCCGGTGGGTCTATATTCGAATCTGCGTAGTGAAATTTTGCGGTGAACACCTAGGCGGTGGTACATTATTCAAAAAAAGTCGGAGGAAAACCAATTCTGTGGTGATACTGTACTTGAATCGGAATTTATTTTGACAGAAAAATATTTGATTCCCTGGAAATCTATTTCACACGATGCCTTGTAAAAACCATGATGGTGCAAACTGTGGGCAAAGTTTATTAAATGGATGACTTAAAGCACCCAAGTGGGGAAATTGGTGCACACTGGGGATATGTCTGTAATTCTACACATCAGTGACCCTGCTGTGCACCTGAAGTGTACCAAAGTTCTTCTTTTGCACATGTTTATATCCCTAATGTCCACCAATTGTGTGTTCACACCAGGATTAACAAATAAGTTACACCAATAAGGTTACAGTTGGTGCATTTGTGTGATACTCCTAGCTGTTGTGTCATTGCAGCATTTGTGCACCAAATGTAGCCCTGGAATGGTAGCAAAATTTCATCTACAGAGGTGCATGCTTGTAACCCCAGAATAGCCCATGTACACCAGTTGTGACCCTAGTGTGCACCACTTGTGGGGTCACACAAATAGCTCCCCACTTGGACATAGTAAAATATTGTTCTTATTGTTAGATTTTCTAGTTGCTTACATTTTATAAAATTTTTTTGCCATGCTTCAACTCTTCATAATAAACTTTGCACGCATTGTGTGCCTGTGCCATCATGGTCTGTACAGCAAGGTCTTCTGTGAAAATATATTTTTGCAGAATTCAACCTTTTTTTGCCAAAGTAAATGCCACTTCAAGAATCACAGTGGGATTACATTTCCTCTGAATTATTTGGAAGGAACCATTACATAATTGCTCACTGCAGGAAAGCCTCCACATAATTTCACTCCACCAATGTGAACCATATATTCCTCTGTCAAGGGTTATGCTCTGTCTGGAGGGTATGCCTTGCCTCCTATACACTTGGCCATCTACTCCTCATCAAAAGTAAATTACCAAAAGTTAGACCCCTTAGCATTCAAAAATTCCCAATTGGACATGAAAATAGACATCAATCCTTACTGCCATTCTTTTATAGATTCATGCCACAGTATACCCAATGCCCAGAAAAAAAAACCTGGGCTATATTGACTATACCTACCATAATCAGCAATGTGTATGTTGAGTGAACTATCATGCAATCTTTCCGGATCATTTTATCATATATGCCAAAAGCAATCAAACCTTGGCAAGCAGAATTGCCAAAAATCACTCTGGACTGGATAAAACTGCAGTGAAATCAACAATTGTCACAAGTACCCTTGCTGGAATAAATGCCAGCTCAAAAATATAGATGCATTCTAGGTGAAGCTTCAGCACCAGCATTTCTGGGTTTCTAATCACCTCAGTTTTTGTATGACGAAGTGCCCCATCAGGTATAAGACCAGCAGATCAAGCTAGTATATAAGATGTAGGCACATCATGGTTTTAGCTCAAAGTTAGGAAAAAATTATACAGTATTTTTCAAATAAAACATGCATCACAGTTTTCAGTTCCCAACATTCATAATTTCAGAAAACTACTTGGGGCAAAATCAGAATATACGTAGGAGCCCATGTACAAGTTGACTCCAATTATATATTGATGATTTGTTGTGCATGGGACACAAAGCAGAATATACTTACTTTATACTTGCATCAAATTTCTTGATGACGCTGAAATTCTGGAATTCCATGCGTTAAAACATGAGTAGAACATTTATAAATATGAACTCTGCCAGAAGACTTAGTATCATCATCACATAAATAATACATGCGATATATGTATACAGTACTGCTGTATACAGTATATTGATATTAAAGAACAGAAATGGAGCACGTTGTATACAGCACTGAAGTCATGCCTTATCCATAATCACCAATTTTCCTAAAATCCAAACTGAAATTCATCATAACCTTCATTTTTTCTGGGGGCAATATGGATGATTCCATATGTGACCGATATACTCAGCAGATTTACTCTCCAAAGATTTTAGTAAAATAAATGTTTTGTTTAGAAGCCTTTTCAATCTCTGATGGGGACTGCAAACTCTAAGTGTCATCAGCATGTAGATGGTGGTCAACACGACAGTCTTTAAGTCATTTCCAATAATAAAGTACATCATTAGAAACGTTTTAAAACAGAAGATTGTACTCGATCCAAGTGTCTTTTAATTTATGATGTACATAATAAGAATATTTAGACCCACCATATCATTCTTCAAAACAGATCCTTATGCTGTTTCAGTGTATTTTTTTTAAAGAGGATAGTTTTTGTTCTACACAGCAGCATTTAAATTTAATTTAGTGTACTGGGATTCATTTTATGCCCAGCGCATATTATGCATGACAGTCTGGTATTCTAATTAATCATTGGCTTTTTTTAAATAACAAGCACGCTTTTCTCTTCTTAATTTGAAGAAGAGTAGCAAGAACATGAACAGTATTTTTCAATTAGATTTAAGACAACTCAAATGTTGAATTTTGGGCTGGATTTGGGGGAGAAATGTGATTGTAAGGATTATTTTTACACTAAACATTACATAGTCTCATTTTGTCATTAGGCTCTCGATACGCGGAACTATACAGTGACAATGGTAAATACGATAGCTTTCGTCATATACAGTACTGTATTACTGAATCCAAACACAGAGAGTTCTGTGAATCACAAAATGTAGCTCTGCACTGCCATCTTGTGACTAGCGTCATCAAGTCCAACAAATGGCGATGTTCCTGCGACGACAGGCTCGAGTGAAGAATCATCCGGGTCCTGTAAGTTGTTGTGGCAAGACGTTCTACGTATTCAGAGAGGTCTTCATAATCTTCGAATTTGAGGCAGTTGAGTGCGAATTGAGCTTAAAACGGAGACATTGACAGGTAGTGCAAGCTCTGTGAATGTTACCCGTCACGAGAAGCATGAGAATGGCGCTATGTAATTGATGATTTTTACTTGCTTCGTAGGGTTATTGTGTGTAAAGAGTTTGGCGCACTCTTCGTGGAATTATGAGGTAAGAGATACTTTTTACTTCGATCTTCCTGTGTTTTGATCGTCGGGCATCGACTACAATTATTTCTGTTGTTCCAGTTCTTTGAAGCTGCAGAAGCGCCTCGCTTCTGCCGTATTGAAATGCGGCAAGAAGAAGGTGTGGCTGGATCCTAACGAAATCAACGAGATTGCCAGTGCAAATTCACGTAAGTTTTTCTTTGGTTATATCGTGCTTTTTTCTGGTTGACAGTGCTATTTAATTCGGATAATGCAGGCCAGAATATCCGGAAGTTGGTAAAAGACGGTCTCATCATCCGTAAGCCTGTCGCCGTCCATTCACGCGCCCGTGTCCGTAAGAATACTGAAGCTCGCCGTAAAGGACGTCACTGCGGTGCCGGCAAGCGGAAGGGTACCGCTAACGCTCGTATGCCGCAAAAGGACCTGTGGATCAAGCGTATGCGAGTTTTACGTCGCTTGCTGAAACGCTATCGTGATGCAAAGAAGATTGACCGTCATCTGTACCACATCTTGTACGTAAAGGCAAAGGGTAATGTTTTCAAGAACAAGCGTGTCTTGATGGAGTTCATTCACAAGAGAAAGGCCGAAAATGCACGCGTGAAGCAACTCAGGTGAGTATTTTGTACAGAGATCGACGTTACGTATTTTACGATTTATGTTCTCTCTCAGTGATCAAGCTGAAGCACGTCGGAACCGCGTTCGAGAAGCACGCAAGCGCCGAGAAGAGCGAGTCGCCCAAAAGAAAGAAGAGTTTGTGAAAACCATTGAGGCGGAAGCTACCGCAAAGTAAACTAATGGTTGCTTCTGTTGTATGTCAAACTCTCTTTCAAACCTTGGAAATACAGGAAGCGACTGGTTGAGTTTCGATGCATTTGGGATTGGTTTCATTCTTTTCTTCTAGTTGAATATTTTCCTTTCAAATTAATATCGTGGTTTTAATCCTTCTTTGGCAGAGTCGGTTCCTTTCAAGCTTAATTCTTTCTCCGTGTGCTGTCTTTTCTCTGTTGAGGCGAGCTTCTCAATACTGCAGGATGGATCGTGGCTACCAAAGTTCAAAGTGAGCTAAAATTTAGGTTTTCATTGACTCAGGCTCGTCATTAACAGGAAACGCCTCATTTCTAGTGGCGGCGGTCCAATTAGAGCTAGAAATTTTGGGAAGTATCAAAGTCGCCCTCTGCATGATCACCCTTCGTCTGGCTCAGTGCGCAATGGTCACCACGGAGACAAGCTTGGCACTGCACGTTTCCCGGAGCTCAAGAAGTGGGATGTCTCTACTTTGACTCCGGTCTGTAAGAACTTCTACATCCCAAACGCGCGTATTGTGTCACGGTATGTGTGCATTTCGTATGTTCAATATCTTCAGCGACAGCGTTTTGATCGCACAGGTCCCAAGCCGAGATAGACGAATACAGGCTGGAAAAGCAAATCGTATTACTTGGGAAAGGTGTTCCAAGTCCGATGATCACGTATGCCGACGCGGATCTTCCTGAGTTTCTCATGAGTGAGTTCGCAAGGAATAGCTTCAAGGCTCCGACTGCGATACAAGCTCAAGGATGGCCAGTGGCTTTGTCTGGTCGTGATATGGTTGGCGTAGCACAAACTGGATCTGGGAAGACTCTCGGAGTAAGTGAACTTTTGAACATCGATTCCGAAAATCTTATTTGCGAAGAGATTTCCTGTCTTCGAAAAGTTTTACGAAGTGTCGTTTAAGATAAGCAGGAGTCTGTTCAGCAAACGAATAGAGATATAGTTTGAGGGTGCTTAAGGTACTCCAGCGTTCGTTGAAATTTAATACTGTAATGGAACTGTTGAAGTGTATAGGCGTTCACTTGGTCCTCTGAACTCTAAAATGACGTCAATGAAGTTTGAAATCCCTGTTGAAAGATTCTCCCAGATTCCTGTGAGGACATGGCACATGGGTTCGATACTTTCAGGTTGAACATCCAACAAGTCCTAATGTTGTATTCATCTTTCGGTGAACAAGATTTCCTTGGCCGAGGTTTTCGACGGCGTTTTTTATAACCTCTTGAGTTTAGGACACGTATGTCTAAGTAGCCAGTAGGGTCACCATGCAGTTCTTGCCTGCGCTTCGATTGAAGATGGTGGTTTAGTTAAGAATTTAAGATATGCTATATTTTAATTTTCAAAATGGAACACTTGTGATTTGTAGTACTGCAATTCGCATATCAGAGGTGACAAGAAAACATCACCGTGCATATTTCGAACCGAGCGCGCTTTTAAAACGTTTCGGAATCTGTGGTCTCTAGAAGAAATCGTAGCGAATCACAGTTCTGAAATTACCTGCATATATTCAGTATATTATCACTAAGTGTGTCAATCCGAAAGATTGAGAAGGTGTGTGATGAAGAGTTGAATACTCCAATTTAATTTTGCGCCCTCCTCCGTTTTTCTTTTGGTATACGCTTCCAGCGCTGATACATGCTAAACATCAGTCACCCATCGGTCGGAAATCGTAGCGAATCACAGTTCTGAAATTTCCTGCATATATTTAGTACATTATCACTAAGTGTGTCAATCCGAAAGATTGAGAAGGTGTGTGATGAAGGGTTGAATACTGTAGTTTAATTTTGCGCCCTCCTCCGTTTTTCTTTTAGTATACACTTCCAGCGCTGATACATGCGAAACATCAGTCACCCATCGGTCGGTGTGACGGGCCCATCGTGTTGATGCTCGCTCCAACGCGCGAGTTGGCTCAACAGATTCATACTATCGCAACGCAGTACGGACGCTGTTTCAACTTGCGCTCTGTTTGTGTCTTTGGTGGAGCTCCCAAAGGCCAGCAACTGCGGGAAGTTTCTGAAGGCGCCGAAATTTTGGTTGCCACGCCAGGACGACTCTTGGATTTTTTGGAGATGAAGCGCTTGGATCTGAAAAGGATGTCTTACTTGGTGCTTGACGAAGCTGATCGTATGTTGGACATGGGTTTTGAGCCGCAGATACGGAAAATCGTTGGTCAGACTCGTCCTGATCGACAAACCCTTATGTGGTCAGCCACTTGGCCCAAAGCTGTCCAGAAGTTGGCAGAAGATTTCCTTACGAACTATGTTCAACTGACGGTCGGTTCGTTGCAGCCGTCGGCGAATACTAATATTCTTCAGATTGTTGACGTTTGCGAGGAGTGGCAGAAGGACGAAAAGTTCGTAGAAATTGGACTGGGGTATTCGCATTCATCGGTATCTGTTGTGAACATACATTTCGTTTCCAGATTGTTCAAGTTGTTGGAAGAAATCAACAAGCAGCTGGAGCGTAAAACCTTGATATTTACCGAGACCAAAAAAGGAGCTGATCACTTAACGAGGCGTATGCGACAGAACGGATTCAGCGCCATGGCGATACATGGTGACAAGTCGCAACAGGAACGTGACGCTGTTTTGAACGGTAGGACTGGATCTGTAGTACTGTACAATGCACCCTAGTATTTCTCTCCATGGCTGTTGGTATGATTCAGCTACGTTCGAATGGAGATGAAAAAATTTTCGTTTTGACTATATTGGTTCCAATGACGTTAATGCGCAGTTGGAATCATATTGAAAACTTGATTCAATAAATAATATGTCCCTTGTTCCCACAGATTTCCGGAAAGGCAGAGCGATGGTTTTAGTCGCAACGGACGTAGCAGCGCGTGGGTTGGGTGAGAATCGATTAAGATAACGTACAGTACTTCCATTTTTATTAAGAATTTTCGTGATTAAAATACGGATCAGTTTTCCCGTCTTCCAGATCAAGAAGTGTTTTGATGGAAGAAATTACGTAAGCTAATCAGTTTTTTCCGATGAATGGAAGTACGAACATTAGTTTCAACCTTTAGGTCTGTCATAATACTGTAGAAAGTGTAGATGGACGTAGAGTTCTATAGATTTTCTCCCTTCTAACGTATAAATTAGTCCTCGTAATAATTTTGCATGGATTGAATGGCACGTACGCCTCCGCTCTCGCAAAGAAAAATGCTTGGGAACGCTGACGTGATAGCGCATGGGTGTTCCGGCGTCGCTGCTTGAGTGTAGACTACGTGATTTGTCGAGCGAAGGCATATCCGTTTTAATCCATGTTTTCATAGATAAATAATTTGTTCTGTCATCCTCGTGGATCAGTTGGTGGCTACGCATTTTCAGACTGGTGCTCATTTGTTCTGTTGACTGGTTTCGGGGTAGTGGGAGTTCTAGCGAAGTGTATTTTAGGAATGAGATTTCTGTCTCCGATACTTCCGCTTGTTCGAAAGATGCATTTCTGTTGTTTTTTGTAGACGTAGATGATGTGAAGTTCGTCGTTAACTTCGATTTCCCGAATAACACCGAAGACTACATTCACCGAATTGGACGCACGGGACGGTAAGATTCTTCATTCTGTTATGGCCCCTGATTTCGCTGTCATGTAAAGTCGCGGTTGGGTCAAGCTGCATCTCGCGCTATCTCTTGCTTTGTCTTTTTCTCTGTCTATCTCTCTGAGTTGAGGACGTCGTGCAGGATTAGTTTTCTTTTCGAAACTTCGAATTCTGACAGCTTGTTAAGTACTGTATTTTGCTTGACTTCAGATTTACGGCTGCAGAGCGGCATATTATGGAAAATTCGTTGCTAAAACTAGGCTGGAGGAAGATGGAGTTGTAAAAATTGTTCTTTGCCCGGAAAAGTTTCGAGTCATATACTACGAGCTTTATTGTGGGTGTATTTTGCCTTAAAGGTCGCGTTTCTGCGTGAGCGAATGTAGAAATTTTTATTCTCTGAAGTTCGTAAGATACAGTGTGTCTGATTCCACGATGTCTTCTTCTGCTCTATAGATGCGTAGACCAGTATAGCATTCTGCTTAATAGCATTTCCGGAAAGACGAGCACTTTTTGTTTGTTACCAGGACAGTGTATTTTTCTTCACCGTTTGCTGCATTTCAAAGCACGGTATAGGAGTATGTTTCAGCTTGTCCTAAATCTAGACCATTCTCGGCATACAGCCGAGATTCGCACCTTGATTCCCCATCCCTGAACTCCCGCGTAACAAGCTTTCAACTTCGTCGTGGTGGATGGTGTAAAAATGTACTTGACTCGAGTTGGTCTCTCTGTCGCTTGAGTGTAAAGGAAAGTCATGGTCTACTTAGTATCGAGAATTCGACGTTGATTGCGCTGAGTTGTAAAAGGCGACGTATCATTCTTCATTTTTAAATTGAACCCGACCGCGTAATCAAAATTCTTATGCCGTCCATAGTCATGGTTATGACTTCGGCTGCTGCTTGGGAATGAAACGATTCATCTGTCCTCTTCGCGATCACCTGCGTTCAGCTAGCTGAACGAATAAAAACCTGTCTTTCGATTTTTGTCTCACTCCCGGCAATGGCGAGCCTCCTCGGGTGCGCGGCGGTTTCCTGTTTTAAGCCGAAGCGCAGTGATTCGTCTGGGTTCGCCATATGTGCGAGAGTGATGAAGCGGATTCTTGAAAGATGATCAGAGTGCCTCATTTCTGCAGTTGCTCGCGGCATTCGCTCGGCTTCGCGATGGTTCCATCGTGATTCGAACGACGAGGAGTGTAGTGATCGAAATTTTCTTACTATTCTGGTTTTTTTATTATCTTTCTTTTCTTAGTTCGAACAAGAAGGGAACGGCGTATACGTTTTTCACGACGAACAATGCTAGGAGCGCGAAGGATTTGATCGGCATTCTCAGAGAAACCAATCAGGTTGTTAATCCCTTGCTCGACGACTTGCAGAACAGGGCTGGTGATTTTGGCTTTCGTGGACTCCGCCGTTGCGGATCCTCCGGTTATAGCTTTAATAGAGGTGATCGTGGAACGGGTAACTATTCCAGCGGCCGAGGCTTTTATTGACGTTACCTGGGCAACAAATGTGCGGTTATTCTAAGTTTTCTGCGATTTTTCTGTGGGCTCTTGTGCCCGCGGTGATCCCGTTGGCCAGGTCCATCCTGGTCGCGAATACACGTGTCGGTTTGAGTTGAAACATTATTACGAATTTTTGTGATTTTCTGTCGTACCCCGGTTGGGTGGCTGCGAGGATTTCTGCTAGTTTTTCCCTGATTTCAACTTGAGGAAGCATGATAATTCAGGGACATGACGTATTTACTTGAATATAAGCATCCACCCAGAATTTTCATGCACAAAATGAAAATTTAATTGTTGGGCAAATCAAAGCACCCACGTACTTCCCTGGCGTTCTGACCTGCCAGAAATATAAAATTTCTAAGGTTAGATTTTCCCAGGAAAAGGAAAAACGGTGTCACACAACCAAGGACTTGGAACAGAGTATTTTTAGCCGGAGCAGAGCCTGGAGCCGGCACAATTTTTGGCTGCTCTGGGCTCCAAGCCTAAGATAAAATTAGAAAAGTTGGGGGAAAACCCCCAGCCATATGTGACCAGTCAACAAAACTGCCTTCCTTCCAATGAAGTCCTCAAACCTGAAAGATTCCTCCCCTTGTAGCTTGAATCTGGTTATCCTGAATCCATTTATTTCTCAACAGTGTCAAGGATAAGTATGTGTGTATGCTATGCAACCCAATGGTTCACTAGTATTGTATTGTATTCTAATTTTTTCATTTTGAGAAACCTTTTGTTAAGCTCACCTCTCTAATTTTTTAAAGACATCCAACTATAATTGCTTCATTCATTCTCAATTTTGGCAAAGAAAAGCAAACACTTTTCAAATGTTGTAAATATAAAATTTTAATAAAATATTGTTCCCGTGGAAAAAGCTGCTGGGACCAAGGATAATTTTTAAAAATTTGTTACAACAAGATCCATTGTAATTTAATTTTACTGTACTAGTCAGTGGTACTGAAAAGTGTCTGGAGCACCAGTCCAGAGCAGGCGATCCTGTCTGGAGCAGAGCAGATCAAAAATTTTTTTTTCAACCCTGCTCCAAGTCCCTGCACCCAACCCTTACTCTTACCTTCAGTCAATGTCTCATCCATCTCCAAGTGCCGAAAGCTGACCATTTTCTTGATCATTTTAAACTACAGTTCCAAAAAAAAAAACAATCAGAAAAATGTGTTTGATTGTTTGGTGGGCTGCGGACGGAAGATTTTCTGATGTAGACGTATATTTACGTGAATTGCAGAAATATGCGTGTATAAGCATCCCCTATATTTTGTGCTTCTAAAATTGGGGGAGAGGGGTGCTTATGTTCGCGTGAATACGATTATCCGTCATTGAGGGTTAAGTCAGAACAAGCTCAAAACACCCGGGGTATGACTTCGACTTACTTAGAGGAGCCGAAATTTTTTGAACCTTGAGCCTGGCGATGGCGTTGAAGTGATCACCTCACAGGTGCTTTTTGGATGGGCATACGCCGGTTCATCGTTCCCAGGATTGCGGTCGAACGTGGATTTTCTTCGTCTGAATTACGTTATGTTGTATGTGATACATTCTGATGGCTATGTTGATTATATTTCAGACTAAAGACAGGAAAAAACGCGCGTTTCGAGCAATCGACTCCTGTATTTTTTTAATTTTGAAAATATGGCAAGTGAAGCATTCCCGCAGCTGACAAAAAGGGCCCCTGATTTCAAGGGCAAAGCCGTTGTGAACGGCGTGTTCAAGGACATCTCGTTGGATGACTACAAGGGGAAATACTTGGTATTGTTTTTCTACCCGCTGGACTTGTGAGTACTTGGTCTGGTTGCAGATGTTCGAACGTGATGTATAATTTGCTTTATGTGAACCGCAGCACGTTTGTGTGCCCGACTGAAATAATTGCCTTCAGCGAAAGGGCAGAAGAGTTCCGGAAGATCGGCTGTGAAGTCATTGCCTGTTCAACCGACAGCGTCTTCTCTCACTTGGGATGGTTTGTTGAAGATATTATTCTCTCCGTTGTTTTTTTAATCCATTTGCGGTTTTTCTGAAATTTGATCTTTCCCGACGACGACGAACTTCAATTAAACTGTTGCATACTGAGAGACTATTTCCTCTAATTCGGGTCTGAACAACAGTCAAGATTCCAAGGCTGATCGTTGTATTGATATCTTGAAATTTAGGATCAATACGCCTCGCAAACAAGGTGGATTGGGTCCCATGGACATTCCTTTGTTGGCTGATCAAAGCGGAGCCATTTCGAAGGCGTATGGCGTTTACAAAGCAGACGAATGTATCGCCTTCCGAGGTCTTTTCATCATCGATGATAAGCAAAACTTGCGACAGATTACGATCAACGATTTGCCCGTCGGACGGGATGTCGGAGAAACTCTCCGACTCGTTCAAGCGTTCCAGTTCACTGACAAGAATGGAGAAGGTTTGTTCAATTGCCCAATTAGTATTCCTTTCGAAACGTAACAAGTTGAATTTGTATTGCCTCAGTCTTCCCTGAGGCAGTAAATAATAGCCGTAAGGCCTCCGGAAAACTCGTTGTTATGGAGGTTTGAGAGGAAAGCCTTCGAGTTATAGTAAATTTTAATTCATTGTTTTTAAGAGAATTAAAGCAGGGGCTTGAGAAAAAATTCGACTCATCGGTGTTTGAGTTATCGAGATTTAACTGTATTTTCTGTGTTAATCCTGTAGACATTTTTGTTCAATAAAAAAAAACTTGACCTTTATTGGTATGGGTTCGTCCACTTATTTACTCTTAGGGTTTATCATCGGTCAGACAGGGTACTTCACTGAGGAGTGGGTACTAGAAGAGGAAGTTCTTGAGTTCCGAGTGCGGACAGTAGCCACAAGGGCGATTGTCGAAGCATCTTTTTTTTGGAGGTTTCCAGTTTTTAATGAGTCATTGTTGCTTGCTCTTCGATGGACGTTCTCATCCAGTGTACCTTACAAATGTAAAGAAGTTCTTGAACCGGATACTTTTAATTGATTTTTTCTAAATTATTTGACATCCACTGATGATTGTTATGATTTTCTGGACCTCAGTTTTACAAACGTGCCACGATTTGTGATCGGCGAAGAAGTTGAAGATCCGTAAATTTATTTTTCTTCCCACAGTTTGCCCTGCTGGGTGGAAACCAGGCCAGAAGACAATGAAACCAGATCCTGTCGGCAGCCAGGATTACTTTGGGACTGTGAACTAAGCCGAATAGAAGCTTCTGGATTAAAGAGAGGCTTGCAAGTCGACTGCTTTCCAGCCCAGCCATATTGAGACAACTTTTTCCAGACAGAACTGCTTCCACGATTTTATTTCCGTGTTACACTCTTCACTTTTAGCTTTGTTGGAGGAACAATTTGTGGACGGTCCGGGTTGTGATGGACACAGATCAGAATATACTCACTTGAAAACAAACTTCGAAACACGAGTTTACTTCCAAGCGTTGATTTGTTCGTCGAGCGTTCTCACCATCTTGCGGTGTCTGGTTTCTCAGGTGAACAAATAATCCTGCTTTTTGCGACATGTCAAGCTTGTTGGGACTCTGTTTGTTTCTTCTGGTGATGAGTGTCGAGGCAGACGAGGGATTCTGTAGCGCTGAAACATGTTCAGATGCGCGACCGAAAAAGTAAGTTTAATCTATTCGTTTGGGTTTTTTTTTTTAAAGTAAGTTGCATTGCTCAAGTGGCAAACTGGGGTCAAATTCGACATTCGAGAAAACTCTTGTTCTTCAGGTACCTGTTGTACGGCGTAAATCCTGGGGAAGGGTTTAATCTCTCTCGTGATGTTTACTTGCGATTAGCGGCTGTTGTTCGGAAGCTAGTTGAAGATGACGATTGGACACTGGTTCGTGATGCTTTCCGATTTATCGAAATTTTTCTTCGCCTGAAGTATTTTTGGGTTATGAGTGTTGATTCCTACATTTTGTCAGTACTGTCCCTCTAGCTAATCATCTATGTTGACGCAATTCGTACGAGATCAATTCTCATTTTAGTTACTAATTGGAAAAAAACCAATTTGGCAATTGACCCCATACTGCTGTGGAAATTATATTTACCTGCCACACTTCGAAGTTCTCTCAATTTGTTATAAGCCGTGGACGAAAAATGTATCTGAAGATGTTTCTTGCTTCAATGGGCAAGTGTCCTGATCCTAGAAATTGTTTTGTTTATCAATCCAGACGTTAATCAAGAACTGAATTTTTTGCTTCTAGTCAATCCTGAACTTGAAAACTTATGGAAGATGCAGTTGCATTTGAATCAACTGCATCCTGTCCTGATCCTAGAAATTGTTTTGTTTATCAATCCAGATGTTAATCAAGAACTGAATTTTTTGCTTCTAGTCAATCCTGAACTTGAAAACTTATGGAAGATGCAGTTGCATTTGAATCGCTCGGAAAATTTAAAGTCGGAAAGTCGAGTACTTAAGAGCTTATTTTGAGGTGCTGAGAAATTTTCTGAATCTTTCCCTGTGATGACCCATGGATGAAATATCAGAATTGATTGAAAGTTCATGAGTCACTGGCCGGAATATTCCGGTTCATCATGGTGTAAAAGTTTTCAGGTTCTTCCTCCATGGGGTCCGACATATCATTGGCGCAAAGCCGAGGAGCTCAGTGGGAAGAAGCAGTTCAAAATCCGATGGAGCGAGTTTTTTGACGTGTCAAGCTTGAAGCGCTTCATCCCAGTCATTGAACTGGAGAACTTCATATCAATTGCTCATGATTCGGCAGAAGTGGATATTGTTTACGTGTTGCAACGCTTTTCGGAAGGCTGGGAAGCCTCGGGTTGGGTGAACAAATGGGAAATTAGGACCTGCTTGGACCCGTTGCGATACGAGGAAACTGCGAATGGTTATTCCGCTTGGTTCTGGGGGTTCAACAATATCAAAGCCAAGGCTGTGACGTGTGTCTCCTTTCAGGGTCATAGTACTCAAGCTGTGGAATTGGTGAAGAAATCCGGCAAACGGTAGGTTTTCCCGTGATCCGCCCAATTTCTCGTGATCCGGTCGAACCTTTCGTTTCGTCAAATGATGGTTATTCACTGATTCTCAATCAACTCGCGCACGTTGTCATACCTTAAGATATCTTATATAATAGTTATAATGTAATCGACTCTAATGTAATCGTTTACATTGGCTTGTTCGCAGTAATTTTCGTGCGAGAATATTCATGATCCACGGAGCGTCTGAATAATTCTTACTTTTCCGTGAGAAAAATTTGAATGACGGTTGATGAATATTGTTGACTTGTTCATCACAGTGACGAATTTTTCTTGTGTTGGTTGATCTGTGATGTATTTTTTTCTGTGCGCAGTCGTCCGAAGTTCAACTATCTCTAGGTTTAATCTGTGCACGCATGAGCATTGCTACTGTTTGATTCGATTCTCCGTGGAATTTTGCTCTGATGTGGACCTTTCATAAATTTTTATATCCATTAATTATTTTTGATCTTAGAAGTATTCGTGACAGTTGTAAGCGCTGACGTGTGAATTTTACCGCAAATGCCGACTTTTCACTGAACTAGAACGTTTTGCACTGAAATTCTTCCAAGAACGAACGCTCATATCCTAGCTCAAAACGTAAAACCTTTTTTGTCGCCTTTGAAATCGGCGTTTATCAACTTTCCAATCATAGAAAAGCGCGTTGTTGGATATTTGATGAATCGCAGGTATTGAACACTGTTTTCCTATGAATGAAGAACTGTGATGCTGGACCGTGCGGAAACGATCTTGCATGACTCCTTCGGCGACGCGAATCACTGGAACGCCCGGAGAAGCATGCGATTTGCCGCACATCTGATTGACGTGGCAGCGAAATTCCGGTCCAAGTTTCTGAATTCTGTTGACGAAACTGACGGAACGAAGGTGACTGACGATTGGCAAAATTTCAAACCAATCCGTGGAGCCGCTCGAGGTGGTCCTTACTTGGCGGTGCACTTGAGGAGGAACGATTTTCTCGAGGGCCGTAAAAGCAGGACGCCGTCGTTGCCGAAAGCTGCGGAAAGAATTCGCAGGGAATTGCAGAGGCTAGAATTGAAGAAGGTGTTCATTGCGACGGATGGGTCCGGTGCGGATGTTGGAGCCCTGCGGGAATTGTTGGAGCCGGAGTTTCAGCTGTTCGTTTTTACTGGTACTCCTGAGCGAATCAAGAAGTTTCATGCTGGTGGAGTGGCGATCATTGATCAGATAATCTGCTCTCACGCGAGGTAAATTTTATACAGTAAAATCTCGTTCAAACTTTTGGGGTCTTTAGAAAGCATTTGTTGTAAAGTATTGAATAATTTGTAATACTGAACGTGTACAGTAATGAGATTTTCAGAACTGATGACTGGAAAAAATGTTCAAATTAGACCTGTAATCAATTAGATCCAGCTTTTCTGGCATTCTGAGATGTTTTATTATTGTTTGAAAAGCTGATGGACCTTCTGAAAATGTTATACTGTACTGGTATTTTTTGTGACGAGATGTTGCTGTACTGTACTTCTCCAGAGAAGAGCTCGTGGACGAAAAGTGACGAGGAGGAAATCAATTGTAACCAATGCAGTATTATACTCTAGTCTAGAACTAGATCAAATTTTCAGAAATCCCCTTCTATTTCCTCGATTGCTGTTCTGTTCATGGCTTCTACATACTGTAAAGCTAACCTACCTTCGATCGAATCAAACCTTTTTGCATCGCAATACTAGGTTTAATACTGTAATTTACTGAAATTTCTGCAAAGTGACCGCCATTTTTAGGAAAGAAAAAACATACTTCAGGAATGATGAATGGCGTAATTTTCCATACTTGAGTGTCATTTTCATCGATTACGAATCCCTGAAAATAGGATTCAGTTCAGAAGAAAATGTCGAAGAACTACACAGATTTAAATTATTATGCTTTGGTGTTGAGAAGAATGTTATCAATTTTTTCAGAGTAATTTTTTTAATGTCAGATCGAAACGGAGCAACATTTTCACAGATCGCTTATTCGTCTCTTTAGTCGATTGTAATTTCAAAGGTCTTGATTCAAATTGCACTAGAATGTAGAAAATTATACCGTGTGTTGTTCCCAAAACGAAAAACTTTTTTTTTTTTAATGAACGGCGGACACTTGGCAGAAACTTTAGTGCCCCACCTTGTAATGTATAGTACTGTGATCTAAATATATTTCTGTGTCATGTGATTAATTGAATGCAGTATTGCATTCTTCACCGCGTCCACAGATCATTGCTGCAGGTAGAACAGTTTCCTGCAATAGTGTTGAAAAATCATGCAATGCTTGAGAAAATAACTAGGGATATTTTGAAGGAAAAATCGGTGATCAGTGATACAACCGGTGATGGGTCAGTTATTTCATCCTTGAATCATTTCTCCGGCCAACTGCGGTGTACGCGTAATCTGTACTGAATCACGATAATGAGAACGAATGCTGAAGGGGACGCCTTTCTTCAATTCGTTCGATTTTATGTCCCCAATAACCATTCATTTTTGTCTGATACCTTTTTCAAAATGAAACATTAATCGAAACCATTTGACTTCCCGTCGTGGTCGAAAGAAGGAAAGAATTCGCGTCTAACGGCTTTTTGATTGAAATCTCTGACGAGAAATAACTTGAGAACTTCTGTCTGTTGTTCATTAATTAAATAATATTTCTCTGAAAATACTGAACGACGCTTCAAAACTCAATTCTCAACGACAATCGCCGTGTTGGCACGGGTTTAAATTCAGGTTGTCCACGATCTGAAACGTACCTGGACACCAGGAGCTTATTTTCTGTGTTATTCTCTTCATTCAGGGTCTTCATCGGAACGTATGAATCTACGTTCTCCTTTCGGATACAAGAGGAACGTGAAATTTTGGGCTTCATGGAAGATTCTACTTTTAATATATTTTGTGGAGATGAGAACGAATCTTGCGAAGGATCGACCCGGTGGACTATTCAATACTCCTGAATAATCATCGAGGTGTAATACGGTGCGTTTTTTGTTTTGTTTTTTGCTTATTTGTGGCCTATCCGCCTGTCGGCGCTGTGATAAACGAAATACAAATACACTTCAACGGAAGTTCAACTGAAATGCGTTTTGAAGCCTCTTTTTTTAATATTGAGAACGTAGTCTGATTTTTTGTTCGAGAGTTGATCATTTTTTTTGAGGTGCTATCTTCGATGCATCAAACGGCAAAAGCTTCAAAGCATAGAGAAAAAGATCACGGACTTCAGAAGCGTACCTTCTCGGCTTTTATGGAGAAAATAATCGGTTTACATAATTACGTGGAAATTTTCTCAGTGCGGCGGATTTATTCATTTAGGGTATGTTTTCAATTTATACCACCGTAAGTACGAAGTACAGTATCGGAATGAATTTGCTGATTCGTTGCTTTTTCGCAGCAGTGATGAAATTAATCGATCCCTTGAGCATGAACGATACTGCTGATGAACAGTGCCATTCATTTTTGCAGCTTTTTGTCAATAGTTACTGCCGGCGTGTTTTGATGCTTTCCGTGGTTTCCAAGGAACCCGAAATGGCATTACACTACTTAACTGTTCACGAACTGACCTTGGTCGATGAGGCAAGCGGCAACAAACGGTGTGGAAAGTGGGGAAAAGACCCATTTCCTCAATCTAACCCCGCTTCTATATTTTGTCTATTCCCCGAGGAGTTTCTGACTCGGTTTCAGAGGCTTCTGAGGGTTTATAACAGTCAATGCCATGTCTGTTCTGCCTGCTTCTGCGGGTTGGAATTCTGGTGAGTGAAAAATTTCCGTGGAATTGGTTTTGTTTTGCATTTTTTTTAACATTTCAGATGGTGATGTTGATTCCGATCCTGTGACAACTTATCCTGGTGAGTATAGCAAGTGCTGCTTGATTCTGTTTTCAAAAATTACACGATGTGCAGTAATTTACATTATCAACTTGGAAAAATATGCTTTACTGCTAGAATGCAAAAAAAAAATCGTTCGGCAAATATAACACGCTGTTCCATTGAATTATATTCGCTTGTCTTTCAGAGAAGTCTTGTCTGATTACACCGAAAACCGATGCTCAATTGTCTCAATCCGTAATTTTCTCCCCTATCCTCACAGATGACGTCAGCCTCTCAAAAATTATTTTATTTTTCAAGTCCTATTTATTTAAATTTTTTCATGATGAGTATAGCAATGCAATTTACGTACAGTACATATAAAATGACATGAAATATGAGACTAAGCCTGATTTTTTGCGCCGATATGAAAAACGCATATTTCTGAGTTAATGCAGGTGCAGTTATCTTACTGTGAAAACTTCAAAATTTCGGTTTTTTTGTTGTAGAAAGATGTGAATTTTTACTCATAGAATTTGGAGAGATTTTCTCGAGTTCCGTTCCAAGATCAGAAAATTGAAATTGACAGGGAACTGATTTGTAATATCGTGTGATAATCTTATTTCATTTTTTTTTACTGCTTATTTGTAGCTCCTTCAAATCAGAATGGTGTTCCTGGGTTCTTGTCCTACGGAGCTCCGAGCATCCTACCGGAATTGGCTCCACTCGTCAACTTCACGACTTTTTACATTGGCCGTCCTACGTCTTGCCCTTGTAAAGTTGAAATTTTAAAAATTCATTTCTGCATTTTGACGAATGCTGTTTTTGAACTCGCGTCTTTCTGCATGGTATGATTTCATGTTGAATGACTGAGTTTATTTTTGTATTGATTGCTACTGTAGGGGACTGTTGAGTCGAATGTGAGATGTTCATAACCGTATATTTTTTAAACCGAATTGGTAATTCATGTTTGCAGAATGCTCTTTCACTGTTTCCATCTGCAATCTTCAGAATGAAAAACTTCGAGGAAATTTATAAGCTAATGATGTCGCCTTCGAGGTTTCAGAAGCAAGTATACCGTAATAAATGTTCGATGATCAAATATAGCTGGTCAATCTTGAAGCATTTAACGGTTCATGTCCGATGATTTCAAGTTTTGAACCGTTCTTACACGAACTGCATGCACGCAGTTATTACAGTACAGTGCATTCAAAAATTTACCTCAAATGTAACGTCAAGAAACTGCATGGAAAAATTCGTACGAATACGTGGCACATCTAGCAAGTTCATAGACAACATGCTGTACTTTTTTGGGCTTCATTTTCTATTCCCCGCTGAAGGCAAACTTTTATTTATTTTTTAATCAAGTGTGTTGCTAATGCAGTTGAACCTCATAAACCGCCACCATCTGTTCGTGAGTTTTGAGGCGGTCTAAAGGGGGTGGGTGGTGTATCAAGAAAGCTAAAATACTGTAATATGAAAATTAATTTTGTATCCTAAAAAATGAAATTATTTTTTTCTTTCTAGAAAACCATTAAAATAACCCTGGGATGCATGAAATATATCTAGCTAACGCTCCCAAGAAATAAATAAAATATTATAAATCGCGGCATCTTTCTTTGTGTTCGTGATTTTTACAAATTGGAGACTTCTTGCAGAAACAAATCTTTTTGGCGGGCTATCGAAGACCAAATTAATTGGAAGGAGCATATTTGAGTAGTCAATAATCTTGGCGGATGGCGTTTTAAAGGGTTTCCAATACGCTTATCATTAGAGATGGTTTGTTTTTCTAAATAAATTGGCGGGGGTGGCGGCTTATCGGGGGCGTCTTAACGAGGTTTGACTTAACAGTGCTTATATGTAGGCAGCGTGCTTATAGTGTTCTTACAAAAATTACTCGGAAATCTGATGAATCCGTACTTCTCGGTTGATTGCAGCGTTCAGCAATATGCTCACCTACTACGATGTGCTGGGTGAAGGCGACCACGTTCTCTACACAGTGGAAGACTCTTCTCCGTGGTACAAAAAGAAGCTTGCGTCTTTCGTTTTGAAAGACCCAGCCAAGAGTCCAGCGTTGAAATTTGAGTTCATCGAGAATTTCACGGTGGTCGGTGGCCAGAATCAAGTTCTTCTCGGTCCGAACCCGGGAATGCATCAAAATCCGTTCACAATCCACAAAGGGCCTAATGCGTTTCATCAAAATTCCATGCACCATAGCAATCACGTTGACGTTTTTGATCAGTCCGACGGATCAATTTTTCACAGTAGCGAAGTGATGATGCATCAGAACGGAGTTGAATACGGGCAAAACGGAATGTTCAACAATGTCAATCACAATCAGGCGATGGTTCATCATCAGAGCAACGGGAATTGGGTGCAGAACGAGTTCAGTAAAAAGAAGGCGTTTTTGGATAATCTAATGAGTGCTGGTTACAAGTCACCATCGGTAATTATGATGTTACTTGCGCTACTTCGTGTGTACATATACAGTACTGGATACTCAGAACGGTTCGAAAGTTTTGATGAGTTCAGTGCCTTGAGATTAATGGGTTCAGGAGGATTTTCTTATAATAAATTCACGGTTTTTGTAAATTAATTCCTCAGCAATTGAATGTTTTTTAAATCTCAAATTTAGCAAGTCTTTTAGTCAAACCCCGTGAAAACGCCATCTGCTAAAATTGTGGACAACTCTTGCCAATTAATTTTTTCTGATAGCCCGCCAACATATTCAATTTTCGGCGAGTCTCCATTAAAAAAATAGAACACGAAGTTGACATAAATTACTTCTTGGGAACATTATCTTGGTATAAATATGCATCCCAGGGTCATTTCGATTGCGTTCTTGAAGAATACGAATATTATTCCCGATTATACTAAATTTTCATATCATCTTCGCTTTTTTGGTGAACCTCCAATAACCCCGTTAAACCGCCACAAATCCCACCGAAACATGATGGCGGTTTATGAAAGTTTCACTGTATATATTAGTGCGAAAACTTCATGGTCCATAATATTTCCTCATTCGAGCATGGTTGTCTAATTTTTGAAGCTTTCAAGGCACTGCACCATCAGGAAGATTTTTCCTGAAATTGGTTCTTGGACCTTGTCCCTATTTCAGAATGTCCATATGTCAGATCACGTTTTCTTGTAGTCTTCAATGAGAACATGTTTAATTGGCTCTCCTGTTTGGCCATTATTTAGAAAAGGTCCTCCAAAAATGGAATAAAAGCTTTTCATCAACTTAAAGATTCAGAAAATAATTGAGCAAGAGAAACCACACACAACCTACCCTTTTGACATGAAAATAAGGAATCCAAAAAGAAAAGAACAAGTGCGTGTATTTTTATATTTTATACAGATGATGGAAAAATCTCTGAGAAAGACGAGTTCAAAAGTAGCCTGTTTTGAATTACAAATTAGAGTACAGTACAGTATAAATTTATAATCAGATTTTTGCAAAAAATGTATAAACACAGTCCTGTAGTTGATTCAGTTCAAGAGCTGTCAAAGTTTCAAAAAATGGAACACTTTCCATTTCTCTAGAAATTTTGGCAGTGTCTGTATTTTGAGACATTATTGTCCAAAAGATGTTGAAACATATTTTTTAGTCCAAGTGTTCTCAAGTCGAATCGTCTGTATCTCGGGATCTCACTGTATTTTTTAGCACAAGAACTTTCAAAACATGCACTACATGGTGTATCAAGATGCCGAGGGAAGAATGATTTTTCTCCTGATTTAAAAAAATTGATATCAGCAAATTTTTTTCAAGCATCATAATTCCTTTTCTGTTCGAGGATAAATAGTTCCAAGATGATTTTGGTTGAATTTCAATCATTCGTTCTAAGACATACTGTAGTATTCTAAATGGGGTTTTCAAACTTCAAGTGCTGGAATAATGTGTACATTTGTGTACGTGCTGGTGTGCATTGATTTGTTTATGTGAATTTTGATACTGTTCGTATTCTAATTTTTTAAAAAATATGAAAAAGAGCTGTGCTGTATATTTCACAGGAAGCGTTGGTGACGACAGCGAATGGAACTCCGATCGGAAAGATATCAAGGAAATCTATGACCTTGTTCACCGTGTCCCTGGCTTCGGGGGAAGACGTTTTCATACTGGAACTCCCGCCGATTTTCCCAAAAAATTGGCACAATTTAGTTAGAATGAACGTTTCTGTGAGTCGAATTTGATTTCATTTTTGGTACTTTGCACTCAATTTTGCTGAACTGTGAAATTATGTAAGGTGAAAAGACCGAGTGACCCGGCGGGTGCGACGCTTGAATCAATGACTCAACTGGAAATGGTCGACCACTGCTGCGGAGGTGGAACAAAATCGTCCAATTTTTCCGTCAGAGTCACAAACAAAACGACAGTGGAGGAAAAGGCCCTGTTGATTGCTGCAGTATTCTTAATAGTGAGAACTTGACAATTAATCAAGAGTTCTGCCTCGTGACGAATTTTCCTCTTTCATAATTCAGGATATTCCGCGACGAACTGCGGCCACGGAGTTGAAGAAAGCTGTGAGGCAAGGTTGAAGTTTCTTGCGTGATTCTACGCGACGTGGTTCTCTTTACCTGAATTCGAGGCACTGCTGTACACAGGTACACTAGACTACTAGAGTACCTTTAATGTACCGTACTCGAGCTTCGCTATTTTTCGTGGTACAGCTTCTTATTGGCATTCATGTCGGATTTTCCGCTGTAATTGTTCCGTGCGTCGAAATCGTGTATTTTTTTATTACTATATGCACGTTGTGGACTTGATCTGTTGCAATGATGCGATTGAAAAACTGGTGATGAAGGAATTGTTCATTCTTTTTTCAATTAATTTCGTGTTCTCATAATATCTCGCAACTAATTCATGGAACGCCTGTGTATAATTCTGAATTTTGCTTGAAAAAGAGTTGAATGTGAGCCTCGCAATTTTAGCCGTAAGCTGCGTAATCGTGTAAATCTTGATTTCGCCGTTAGAAAAATGCCGGCGTGGAGAAAATAACGGGATAAAGAGGAAAGTTTGTTGAAAGTTTATTTTACGCAGAGAAAACGACCGAGGAGAGAATTAAATGTGACGAAATTTTCAGGGGGGACAATTAATGCGTAAAAGAATTAATCTGATGGATTAATAAAATATGAATAGAACTTCGCAAAGTTAATTTACAAAGAAATTGTTGCAACATGCACTTGAAGTAAGGCTGGATTTGTGGAAGTGTGTGTCTGAGCTAGGATTTATCTTCATATTTCATCAGATTAAAAGCTTTGAATTAGCGTTACCCTCCATAGGGCAGTATTAAATTGAGGACTAGGAAATTTTATTCTCTCTTTATTGCATTTTCTGACTCAACATTTTCTTCTTACCCCATTTCGATGCATTTAACAATGAATGCCGAAAAAAATGGAACTAATTATCTCTTTCGATTTTTGGAATTCATCCTCGACTCAAGTTCAGAGATTTTCACAAGTTTCATGAACCTCAGTCGAAAGCTCACTTCATAAGCCTTGAAAACTCATGGAGTCGGACTCAAACTAACAATACCTGAATCAGTGAGGAAATTTGTCGTTTTTTGAGCGGTGTGTACTGATTTATTGTTCTAAGATTTAAAAAACCCTTCCTTGAACAATCGTAACTGTGGCAATTTATTTTTCGCCTAGAAATAAGTTGACCTCTTTGCCTCGGTTGAATATTTCGCCCGGCCTGTACCAGTACTTATATGGTTTATTTTGACAACCTTTTCATTAATATTTAGATGCACCTATAATTCACCATCAGTCAGCAGTCAGCACCGAAGTTCTTCGCTGCTAATATTTCAAAGTCTTCGTGTCAAGAATTGAAAGATGCCAGCTCGGAACGAGGGTTATATTCCGAATTTTGCTCTGGTTGTGTTTCCATCATTTCGTGCGTCTTATTTTTTCTCGCGGGGCTTACAAAATCGAAGTTTGCTTCGAAAAGTAGAAGACTTTCTGAAGATGTCTTTATCTATGTACATTTTACAATAGTTACTTGATGAGCAAGATCAAGGGCTCATGAAAATACCCTGATACGTATGTTCTCGAATAAATTTTCTTCTGCCGTCGCATCCGTTTGGAGCCAAATGCACCCGATATTTTCGTGTGTTGAGAAAATTGCATTTTTTCGGGGGAAAAGCATGGCCTGGGATAGTTATTTATGATGACGTTATTCAGGAGCCGAAGATTTATTAGCTGGTCGCAAAATGTCAGATCCTAGATGTGGTAATTTTAAAGCCTTGTTAATGTGAAAATGGCCAAGAAAAACGAAATTCGTCGAACATGAATCTTTCTCATCTTATATGACTCCACCTGCGGAAAGGTATGCCATTGAAACCCGTGTGAACGATCGTCCTTCTATTTATTTCAGGTGGTTTTTTTTTATTATTAAAGGAAATCCTTTTAGTCTCTCACCACGCCCCGTAGATCGTCATCAGCCCTTATTTCATATCTCCGGCTTCAGAAAGTTTTTACGACGATTTACGACGTATGGACATTGCCAAGGCCAATTTTTGTTTTATTTCCTATAAAGTGCTCTGTGCAAGGTTTGATTTATCACGCTATGTAATTCCTGCTGTGCTTCCCTTTTCAAAATTCTAGATCGAATGGTACTAATATGGAGATGAAGTTGATGATTTCTTGATGCTCTCTCGAGTACAGGTTTAACCTCTAAATTCGATCCTATAATTCATTGCTGGACTAGGGTCAAATTGCAAAGCAGTTGAATTGTAAGACAAAATCAGCAAATGGCATTTTTTCTGCTTGGTATTTGACGTTTCATGTGTCTCCACCGGTCAAATTGTGCGACAGAGGTCACATTGAGAGTTGACCCGCCAGCAAATTTGACTGTCAAAATTGTGGGAGGTTGAATTGCAAGATACCACCAGTATGTTTGAACCTTGGTTGAAATGGAGAGAAAACAATAGGTTAATACAGTATAACTCCATTTATTTTTAGAGAAATATTTACAGGTTCATCAGCAGCCATAATACCATGTTTCATGAATTTATGCATACCCATTCTCAAGTATGAAAGATGTGTTAATAATTTAAAAACCCCAATATAAATTGCAGTTCCAGAGATCATGTGACAAAATTAGTAGACAATGAAGGAGTGTAACTTTCAAGACACTGAAAAATGTACTGATATTGAGTAAACTAAAAATTGGAAGATCATTTTTGCGCACATTTATTTAATTCAGAAGGATGTGCTGGAGTATTGCATAGTGTGTTTTGTAACACTATGTACATTAGACTTGAGCAACAAAACGCCATGAACAAAAACAGTTTTAATTAAAACTTTACTGTTCAATTGAAACATGCGCAGTATTTATTACTTTGTATTCTTGTCTGTTTTTGAATTTTTAATGCTAATTTTGTCTATTTCAGTATTATTATAGTTTTTTTTTCAACTCTGGAACCAATTTTCCCTAGGTAAGCATGGGAAATAGTGACTAACCTGAATAATGTCCTGAGCAACAAACCAACCATAACTGGAACAGAAAAGCTTTTTTGCTGAAGGCCCCACTGTACTTTCTAGAATTAGATTGATGTTGTAAACTCAAGCTTCTCGATTCTATGGTCAAAACGTCCCCAGCATGTCCAATTTAAAAATTTTGTTTTCTCAATTCCCTTATGTAAAAGAAAATGTAGAGCTCCCTTGTACTGTATTTGAAGACTTCCTTGTTCGAATGTGAGTGATGTAAAATTCTGGAGCCCTTCATTGAAATATTGTATCATGTTGAGGAAACTTAAAATAGGAAAGCAATAAAAAATGTTACTTCATTGGTACTTTAAAAAATGTAATATTGACTATAATGCAAATGAAACCTTGTGATCTGCTTGTCGGCGTTATGCTTTTGGCTCATTTATACCAAGCAGATTAAGGCCCAGAAGATCACCAATTTAATCTTCCTTCAATTCTCAATTTTTCAATGGGAAAAATGCAAGTTTCCTTTACTTAAAAACTCTGTGAGAAAAAAAAAAACGAAGAAACATCCCATGAATATCGGGACGTTGATATTCACGGTTGACAAAAATTAGCCAGAAAGTAATTCCGAAAATTAAAAAGTCTGACAAATTAAAAATTATTCACGATAATTTCGAATCAGTTTTGGTCTCTGGTCAAGGGTATCGCTTATTCCCGCCTGTCCTGACGTAATCTGATGTTGCAGAATATTTCATCAGTTCCAGAACTCGAATGTGTCGAAAGCCGGCTGATTTCGTTTCTGAAATTCGTTTTTGGCGAAAAGCGAATGCATGAATAGTACGCGTTTAAAATGTCGATTTAAAGTTCAGTATTCCGCCTTATTATTCTGACTCATTGCTTAGTGTAAATTACTGTATATAAATACACACATGAAATGTATTCAACTGATGATTAAAAGCCCTTGAGAAATACACTATGAAAGCCAAGAATCAAAATTGAATTGTTTTTGATTTTGCGGCCCATCAACAAATGAGAACGTTAAACTTGAAGTATTATTCTCATGAAAATGAAACCTGCAGATTTCGTAATCCATTAACTTCCAAATTTCCCACACACCCATTTTTGCTTCATTTCACTTCACTAATTGATAAGTTGGTACAATTATATGGTCAACCCCCGCACAGCAGACCTTCCACACAACATATTTTTGCACGACACATTTTTTCACATATTTTTGACCGCCTCTGGAGGTAGTTTCCCCTCCAGCACAATGGACTAAATCCGCATAACGTACTTCTGTTGGTGTAAAATTAATGGCAAACAGTAAAAATGTTAATTTTAAATAATTGAATTTGCATAATAGACTTTTTGCATGACAGACTAATAGTCTGTTGCAAAAATTAAATCCATTGTGCAGGGGTTGACTGTATTTTGAAGTCAAAATTGTGTCAAATATTTAAAACTTCAACTAGATCCCCTGATGGGCATGTGTTGTGATCAATCAAACAAAAACAAAATAAAATAAAATGTACCAATCTATATACAGAACGGACCAGACTTCGAAGAAACACTAAAGTTTTGAATTCAGCTGCAGCCTAGAAAGTACTTTTCTTGCCCTCAAAAATCATGTTCAAATTTTCAGACAGAATCTGTGAGTTGGATTAGGAAACATATGTTCTAATACAAACATGGAAGAATATACTGTACAATATGGAAGAATATTCTCAACAGGGGCGTCTGCTTTTTGCAGAGCGTATACACACTTTAAGCTCATTTTTTTGTGCAGATTGTATTTTCGGTGGGATACAAAAAACATTTGAATCCCAAATGGGGCCCATGACAGGCAATAGGTTATAGTATAGCAGCATGATTCAATAACATGAGAATATGCTAATGCTGTAATATGTAGAATAAGGATGTTGAATGGCTGAACATTTAGTTAATTTCAGGGTGAAAACTGAACACAACCAAATTTGTAGATACTGTATCTTCTATACTGATGTACTGTATTTTTTATTTAAATTTTCTCGCTACTATTGAGGAAGCGGATGAGTCTAAACAACAAACAAAAAAAGCTGATTTGTTGATGGAAGCTCATCCATCAGATGTTTTCTGGCTTTTGTACAAAGTTTCAGATTTCAGCTCGTTTCCGATGAACAATTTCATCAATCATCGCTGCTTGGCGAAACCGGAACTTTCGAGCCTTTTCTATTTTTCCGGTCTCTTCATCATTTCCTCCGCCCCCCCCCGACGAAGTCTTGTTGTCATTCAATCAACATGGGCTTGTCCAAAAAGTACCGTTATCCATTCTTTTCCTCATGTTACTTCGCCTTTTCGACTCGCCCTTCAGGGTTTTGCTAAAAAATTCCTCCTT